TATAGACCACATTGTATACTGCAGCCAACACATCTCAGCATGACTGGCTTGGAGGAGCTGGATATTAATGGCCACAGCATGTCACATTGCTTGTAGTTGTTAATAAGGACCCTGTATGCAGGGCGTTGGTGGCACACGCCTTTAATCCCAGCACTCGGGAGGCAAAGGCAGGTGGATCTCTGTGAGTTCGAGACCAGCCTGGTATACAAGAGCTAGTTCCAGGACAGCCTACAAAGCTCCAGAGAAACCCTGTCTCAAAAAACCAAAAAAAAAAAAAAAAAATCAGGACCCTGTATTAGCTCGGTGCATGTCACCCTCCACCAACAGTTGCCCTCAGCTGTCCAGAGCTGTTTTGCCATGGGAGTCAGTCACCTGTAATCCCACTCCTCACCCCGTCAGGCTCCTTCTCCATGGTTTTCTGCTGTCATGCTTTTGCAGCCATGTCCCCAAAACCAAAGTGCATTTATTTCAGAGACTACCTCTCCTAGGAACAAAGCAAGAATAGACTTTGCTCTGTTCCTTCATTCAAAATGAAAATTTCTTTGGATAAAACACCCCTGTGTATAGTACCAAGACACCAGCCTATTTTTTCCCCAGCCAGAACCTGGGGGGTTTTATTAGGAGGCTGTGATTACTAATGCTTGCAGTTTCAGGAGTGTGTGGCTTGCTAACCTGTTGAGAATACTCTATGCTCAACTAAGAACACGGTGATGAACAACGGAATGAAAAGTCAGGAGACCAGGGTTCTAGTGCTGCGACCAGTGGGAGCTCTTGATAAACTGAGCTAATACATGAGTGCAAATCAGGCCTGAGTTATTTTTCCTAACTGAAGAAACTCAAACTAAGTACCATAAAAACAGTAATGAAGCCAGACTCTAATTCCCCAGCAGTACTTCAAGCCTTGTTATAGGTACACTGGTGGAAGACAAGAATGATGCAAGTGCCTGAGGGATCTCACTGGATCAGACTTAACAGTTATTTTGTGAGATAAGGAAAATTAGAAAGAACTCTTGTTGAGAAAGAAATACCCCAAATACTCTGGTTTTAAATACAGATACCTTTACCTTAATAAATTTACTATTTCAGTTAAAAAATATGAAAAGAATAAAAAGCACTATGTATGTGATTTGTACCTGATGTGCAGATATTGAACTTTAAGGATAAGAATTACTCAGTTACATTTATAAAAATAAACAGAGTTTGAGGCTTCTTAAGGAGGCCACTGGAAATTAAAAATAACCCAGAAATAGCAAAGCAGTATCAGGGAGGGGTGCATTTGGTAATTAGATTTATTTAAGAAAAAATAACAAATACTCAAGTACAGCCTTTAATCGCTAGAATTTCACAGTTGGCATTTCAAATATTTGATTTTTGGCTTGTGGTAATTAAATGAAAACCATCACTTTCAATATTTTTTCAACAGGATGGAAAAAGCCACCATTGATTTAAGATCATTCATTTAATAATTTAACTTCATACAACATCAATACTGAATTATGACATTGTAAGCATGATTATATCTTAGGCTATGGGAAAAAAGATAATAAAAATCAGCAGCATAATCCCCCAAACAGCACAATTTTCAGTTCCTTAGATACAAATGTAGCAAAATTACCAAAATGACACTGACAGAGCCAACCTGTCAGGAGAAGATAAACAGAAGACAGTCCTTAGCAGGGAAGAATCCTGGAAGGTTACAGCTGTAAAAGTCATTAGGTGCCTTAAAACATTCTCTGGGAAATTCTGCAAATGCTCCTCGATGGTCCGTCCAGTTATCTGGGAGATCTGACTCCCTGGATGCAGCTCCTGACAGCAGCACTGGAATGCCAGCTTCAACCCAACTTCAAGGGTGCTGTATCAAAAATGCACAGGAAAACCATGTCAGTGACTCCACACTCCTACCCTGAGAGCTCATTCTGAGGTTACCACACATTCACCCACATCAGCCGTACTAAGTGGCACCTTTAGAGGTGACAGTGAGCACATTTTTCTTTAATTTGGGTGATGTTCAGATTGTAACTGGGGTGGCTCTGGATTGGGTCTGTGGTAGATGGAGGAGGGAGTTGAGAGTCAGATGCCCAATACTGTGAGAACCCAAGGTGCTGGAGATGAAACCAAATGTGTGTCAGAAGTCTGGATCATCAAATGTGCTCAGAAAGGCTGATACTAGGCTAGGAGATGCTGGATGGCTTGGGGGCTTTTCTTTCTTAGGGAGGTAAAGACCAGAAGATAAATTGACTCTATACTGAGGGGCTCAACAAGGACTGGACAAGTTCACAGATGTTGTCCAGGCAAGTATCAGGAACACTCATCTTCCTGCAAATCTCTGGTGAGGCCACTCTTTTAAAAAAAATGTCATCCACCCTCAAGATTAGACACATGCTGGCAGAGAAGCACTTAAATGTTCACACAGGCAGTGCTGGCCCATGCCTTTAATCCCAGTACTCAGGAGGCAGACAAAGGTGAGTTCTGGGACAGACAGAGTTACACAGAGGAACCCTGTCTTGAAAAACCAAAAGAAAAAAAAAACAAAAAAGAAAGGAAAAAAAGAGAAATGTTCAGCATTTTTAATCATCAGGGAAATGTAAATCAAAGCTACTTTGAGATTACATCCTACATCAGTCAGCATGGCCAATATCAATAAAGCAAATGACAGCTCATGCTGTTGATGATTCATGACAGAGGGAACACTCACCCAATGCTAGTGGGAATGTAGACTTGTACAGCCACTATGGAAATCAGGGAAGACGGGGATCAATCTTCATCAAGATCCAGTTATGCCACACTTGGGCATATAGCCAAAGGACACTTGCTCAACCATGTTCATTGCTACTCTACTCATAATATCCAGAAATTGGAAACAATTGGATATCCCTCAACAGAAGAATGGATATAATGAAAATGGCACATTTACACAATAGAGTATTACTCAGCCATTAAAAAAGATGAAATGGTGAAATTCGAAGGTAAATGTATGGAACTAGAAAAAGAAAAACCATCCTGAGTAAAGTAGCTTAGACCCAGATATGGTGTGTATTCACTTACATGTGGATGTTCACTGTTAAGTCATTGACAAGCAAGCTATAAACTGTATAACCATAGAGGTTAGATAGGGACTAGGAGAAAGCACAGCTCTTCCTAGGATCTATCCTAGGAAGGAGAAATAGAATAGTTATGGATTGGTAGGGGATGAGGGTATCCATAGAAGGATCAAACAAAGAGAGGGAAGGAAGAGGGGGGCAAGGAAGGGAATATGAGGAGGGACAGCTAAAACTAAGGGTCATTTGAGGGGTTGTATAGAAATCTAGTAAGTAAGGTACTAGCTTCCTATAATACGCACATATATGAAGGTAATCTACATGAAATAGCCAAATAACAGGAGAGACAGAGCCCCAACTGGACATGTCTTGTTATCAAATAAAGCTTCTAGTATGGGGAATGAGTTGCATCTAATTGAGTTCTTTAGGGCCAAAAGGGTCTCATGAGAACCCCAAACAGCCCAGGCTATTGTAGCTCTCCACAAACTGACAATAAGGTCCTACTAGTGAAGACAACACTTAGGCAATTTACTGAACCTGGAGAAGCGGATCTGGGCACCTACCTAGATACCTATACACCAGTATTCATAGTCCTGAAAGGTTCTCTGCATGCTACCAAAGGAGAAAGGTAAACACCAATCCAGCTACAAACCCTTTGATCTACAAGAGCGACCTGCCTACGAGACGTACTGGTGCAAGAGCAGTGCTAAGTTTGTGGGGATAACCAACCAATACCGGATTCGAGTTAAGGCCTACTCCAAGACATGGAACCCATGCGCAGTGTTGCTTGGGTGGCCAAGAACCTGAGATTGGATAGGGTAAGGACCTAGGGGAAAACCAATTAATACTGTTCTAATAAAGGGGCATAGCAATAAAATGACTCCTAATGACATTATGCTACACTCACAGACCAGCGTCTTGCTTAGTCATCAGAGAAGCTGCCTCTTGCAGCAGAGAAGAACAAATTCAGAGGTCCACAGGCAGACAATATGCAGAGTGAGAAACCTTGGAACGCTTAGCCCTACAATGGATGTCCTCCATCAAGTCTCCCCTCCAAGCTCAACTGTGGGGAAACTGTGGACAAGCAGGCAGAAAGCATGTAAGAGCCAGAGGGGATGGAGAACAGCAAGGAATCAAGGCCTTTTACACACAACAGGGCTGGCACATCGTGGGTTTGCACCAATTGGGGTCCTAGAGCTAAGAAAAGTGGATACAGGCTCCTATCCCTAAACCCAGAACCTAACTCCACTTGATAGCCACTTGCTAATAAAAATTAGTTTCCTCCAAATGAGTCTCAATGGGGAAAAAAAAAAAAAACACTCCTTGTTTTGTTTTTTGTTTTTGTTTTTGTTTTTGTTTTTACCTTACAGGTCCTTTTTGTATATATTACAGCTTCCAGTTTGAGGGTTTTACGAGATTCCTATGTCTGCATTTCTTTCTTTCTTTTCTTTTTTCTTTTTGGTTTTTCAAGACAGGCTTTCTCTGTGTAGCTTTGGAGCCTATCCTGGCACTCGCTCTGTAGACCAGGCTGGTCTCGAACTCACAGAGATACACCTGCCTCTGCTAGAATCAAAGGCGTGCGCCACCAACGCCCAGCTTCTATTTGCATTTCTTGTGCCTTTCCTTTGACTCCTTTTGTTTGGCTATTTTGTCACATTCAGATTTGTTTCTTTTGACTCATTTATCTATTATGACTATTCCTTAGGCTCCCATTTGTTTTCTAACAAGAAACAGAAAGGGTGGTGTGGATCTGGATAGGAAGGGAAGCAGGGAGGACTGGAAGGTGTAGAGGAAGGGAAAGCTAACTACAATATGTTGTATGAAAAATTTATTTTCAATAAAAGGAAAAACAGAACATATGCATACATCCATGCATACAAATGCACACACAGACACACACAGACACACACAGACACACACACACACACACAAAACTCACCCATGCACACACCCAGAACTCACCGCTGCCTTCAGAGCTTGATCCAGGTCTTCAAGAAGGTCCCTTTCATCCTCTAGGCCCACAGAGAGTCGGATCAGTGTGTCACTGATCCCAAGGGCAGCTCTGTCCTTCTCAGGCACAGATGCATGGGTCATCTTTGCTCTGGAAAGAAATTCGAGCAAATTTCATCATTGCATTGTGCCGGTGGAGTCATATTTCTAGCTAAAATATTGCAGTTATTATCAGGTCTCTTTCAGCTCCTACTTTTAAACCTTTATGATTTTTCAAAGGCAAACAGAAAATAAACAATTGTCAAACTTATCTCTTGTCATGATTTTAAATGAAATCCAGGAGTGCTTATGACATACTTACATGTCATACAAATGTGTGGAAGACAGAAGCTTGGACTCAGGTAGGGGAGGAGACCAGCTACCTGTGGATTCGACCAAATGAGGCTTTTGCTGAGACCAAATTGCTCATACACTGCTCTTTACAAGAAACCCCAGGCCTTTACCAGACAGCAACAGGCAACAGAAATTCTAGTGCAGAACACATGGGAGAAAGGCCTGAAGAACTTTCCTAACTGGAAGCTGACCATCCTTACAGGTGAACAGTCAGGCTTCCATTGCTTCAGGCACTGTAGGAAGAACCTGGAAGAAATGAGGTTTCTCCTTGTGTTAGAGGGTGAAGGAGACACTGAAGAAAAGCAGACAAAGCTACTGTAGTAGAAACTATATGCCATCTTTTATCTTAAAAATATTTCATAAGCATCAGTCAAAGCACATAAAGTTATTTTAATTAGGGAATACTAGAAAGGTAAGGACTGTGAGAGTTCAGAAAGTCAAGTCTTCATGGACTGTGTTCCAATAAGTAAGACAAAAACAGAAAATCAAAGAAATAATAAAGGAGGAGGGAGGAGGAAAGAGCAAGAACTTAAAATGTAACAGATGCCTAAAGGAGTCCATAGCAATAAACACCTTTCTAATGTGGTAATAAAAGGCAGGACATTAACTTGGGCATTTCCCCCACCCTCTCTTAAGAGATTAAGAAAGACAGACACAGGCTAGAGTCATCTGAAAAGAGAGAACCTCAGCTGATAAAATGCCTCTATAAGATTCAGCTGTAGCCAGGCGTTGGTGGTGCATGCCTTTAATCCCAGCACTAGGATCTCTGTGAGTTCGAGGCCAGCCTGGTCTCCAGATCGAGTGCCAGGATAGGCTCCAAAGCTACACAGAGAAACGCTGTCTCGAAAAACAAACAAACAAACAAACAAAAAGATTCAGCTGTAAGGCATTTTCTTAATTAGTGTTTAATGAGGGAGAATCCAGTCCACTGTGGGTGGTGTCATCCCTGAGCTGATAGTCCTGTGTTCTGTAAGAAAGCAGGTTGAGCAAGCCATGGGAGAAGCCAGTAAGCAGCAACCCTCCATGGCTTCTGCATCAGCTCCTGCCTCCAGGTTCCTGCCCTGGTTGAGTTCCTGTCCTGACCTCCATCAGTGATGGGTTATGATGTAGAAGTAAGAATCAATAAGCCCTTTCCTCCCCAACTTGCCTCTGGTCATGGTGTATCTGACTGAGACAGGTACAAAGTGTTTTCTAAGGCTGCAGAGTTAACACAGGGTATCTGGGTGGGAGGCTAATCCAGTATGCAAACTTTATTTCCTCTTATCCATATTGCTTCAATCACAATAGTGTTGGGAGGCCCAGAATGAAAGGTGACCAAACAGACAAGCCCTGACCGAAATATACTTATCCAGTCTGAGGGCTGAGTAACGTTAAACCCAATCCCTAGCAAATCAGGAAACATCTATTTTTAATGAGAAAGTCTTAAAGCCATAAATATTTCCTCCTCTGAGAAGCAAACTGATTGCACACATGAGTGCCCTCTTGTGCTCTAGACCTTCTCTCTCTCAGACATCTTCATAAAGACCAGGGAACAAAGATGCCACCTTACTACTTCAAATCCTGACTAAGATATATTTCTTTAAACTTCACTAGTCAGGCTCTATCTACAACTGTAAACAGGAAGTATGCCTACACAGAGAAATTTGAATTTTTAATATAGTGCGTCCAAGACACAGTCATTGCTGAATGTGTACAAAAATACCACACACACAAAAAAAATCTCATGAGAGCTGAGTGTAGTGGTGCACATCTGCAAGCCAAGCATTTGGAGCTAGACACAAAACAGTCTGTAATATAATGTCATCCCTGGCTGCAGGACAAGTTTTAGAACAAACTGAGCTGCTTGTCCTGCCTCAACAAAGTAAAACAAACAAAACAAAGCAAAAACAAAAATCATATTCAGTGATAACACGTGAACAAAATGCACTGATGCCTTGTTCCTTTGGTAATAGCTGTAATTAATGGTCCATCACCCCAGACTGTGTAATAGTCCTTTAAATTATATGAATATATGTCACTGTGACTGGTTTATAAAGAAGCTGACTGGAGAAGTTTAGGTGGGATAACCAGACTAAGGACTCTGGGAGGAATAAGGGTGGAGCCTGAGGAGTTTCAGTGAGATGCAGAGGAAACAGGAGATAAACATGCTGAAAAAAAAGGTACCGAGACAGTGGCAAAACCTAGATAAGAAGTATGGGTTACTTGAAAATGTAAGAGTTAGCTAATAACAAGTCTGAGCTGTTGGTTGAGCATTTGTAAGTAATACTAAGTCTCCATGCCCATTATTTAAGAACTGGTGGGCAGGAAAGAAAAATCTGCCTACACCTCAGCAGGTCAGGCCACCAGTCTGCAGTAACCAGTGGCCTATTATCAATCTCCTCCTACAGATGCAAAAGTGCTCCAGAATTTGGCAAGAATGTATCAGAGTTCTCTGCACTGTTAGGAGCACACGCATTGGAGGCTGAGGTACACCTAAGTCAAGCTCCAACCATGAACCTGGAGTTCACTCACTGATGTAAAGTGAGCTCACTAACGACCAGACTCAAGAGCATCGTGGGACTATAAAATAGCTCTCACTGTCTTGTTGCACCCGACTCTCCAATGTACCTACCAGTGTATTTTAAAACTTGCCTTAACTTGGCTTTCTTTGTTCTGCTTCCACATTGGAACATGGGATTTGGATTAACTTAATCTAAGAGTTCCTGGGTCCATGTTCTTACCCCCTTTAAGACTAGAGCTGTGGTTTTATGTCAACAGACTGGAAAGAGACTGATGCAGCAACTCAGCATGAGACACAACGCAAAGAAATCAAGACAGAATAATCAACTATTAAAAATAAAGACTAAGTAAATGAGATGCAATAATAACCAAGGGAAACAAGAGCAGACTTACGGAAGCTCGGCCAGACTCTCATATCCTCCCAGGCTCTCGGCCAGAGTAAACAGCTGGGGAAGAAAACAGAAATTTAGATCATCCCATAACATAGTGCTAAATTATGAAAATAAACTTCTTTGATAGAATTTCTCTGGCTCAGGAGGGATGAAGAGTGATAGAAATTATGATGAAGCAAGAGTCGGGCAAGATACTAAGAAAGTCAGAATTGAGTCTAAGACAATTAGATGCACTGTCTTCTAACCTTTAAAACACTTAGCCCATAGTAGTCATCCTAGGGCTCAGAAGACAGAGGCAGGATGATCTCTGTGAGTCTGAGGCCAGCCCGAGCAACACAGTGAGACCTTATCCCAGAGAACTTTACCAAGGTCTAGGGGTTATATCTCAGTGATAGAGAGCTCACCTGTCTGTGTGCAGGATCCTGAGTCTTATTGCCACAACTGCAAAATCAGTCAGTCAGTCAGTCAGTAAATCAGTCAGTCAACAATAAACTGACCAAAGTCAGTTTCCTACATCAGCCTGGTTTGGATGATAACTAAGCAATCTGCAGGTATCAAATACTATGCTTAAGATAGATGGTGGCTTATAGTACCACCCAGGAGTTAGAGACAGATGGTAGCCTGATCCACAAGTTCAAGGCCAGCCTGGTCTACATACCAAGTGCTAGGGTTCTAGACTATAGAATGAGTAAGGCCTTGTCTTAAAAACAAAAGCAACAGTAACTACGCATATATACATATCATACTTAAATATTATTTACATGACCTCTAAAACCTAAAATTTTTACCTTTAGACCTACCTCTCTTGTTTCCCTTTAAATAAATACTTTGGAATGTCTACCATTATCTAAACTAGTCAATATGCAGAACTTTCTTTTTTTCAAGACAGGGTTTCTCTGTATAAAAGCCCTGGAGGTCCTGGAATTCTTTTGTAGATCAGGCTGGCCTTGAAATAACAGAGATCGGCTTGCCTCTGTGTTCTGAGTGCTGGGACTAAAGGTGTGTGCCACCACACCCAGCTATGCAGTACCTCTTAAATTAACACCTCCTTTAACTGTCCATGGAGAAGGGGAAACTTCTTGGTCCACCCGTTGCTTTGGTTTGCACATGGTCTGTTCCCAGGTTACCTGTGTGATGTGATGATGGGTGGGTCCTGCAGAGTAGCGTTTCTTGGAGGGTAACCATCAGGGGTGCCACCCTGATTCATGCTCATTGGACCAGTGGTACCTAACATTCAGGACCCTCCTGCTCCTGTCTTCTTGCTCCCACATGGATGCTGGCGGGCAGCTTGATCCCTTCAGCCACCAGAACTACACGCTGAGTGACATGCCTGCTTTGGGTGAGGTGGGTCCCACCAAAGTTCATGTGATGTGCCTTTAAGAAGTGGGGCTTGGTGGGAGACTCTGAGGTCACTGAGGGGAGAACTAACCAAGATACTGCCTATTGTCATCAGAACAAGCCTTTCTCCAACTGCCATTGGCCTTCTTGACTGGTGACTGCTCTTACTCCCACAGGATGCCATCTGACACTAGGCTCTCAGCAGAGGGCACAAGGAAGGCATCACCTAACTCTGACCTGAAGATTTGGTCTCCAACCGCCAGTGAAGTAAATCTTTACTTATAAAGTACCCTGTCTCTGGCATTTTGTGATAGTAATGAAAAAAAAACAAACAAACAAAACAGGCTAATATATTCAGTGTTGGATATCACAGCAGCAATAAGGACTAAGATCGTATTACAATGCCATAAAATTTACTCTTTTTTTTTTCCTGAAAAGGATTCTTACTGTGTTGCCTAGCCTCCTCTCAGACTTAGAGATCACATGATCCTCCTGCCTCAGTGTCCCAGGCAGCTAGAACTGCCTAACTTAATTTTACTAAATGTCTGAAGTGAATGCTATCCTTCTAACCTTAGAGACAGATTTGAGCCAGGAGAGCTTTGTTCTGTTTTATGGGAGTAGCCCTGCAAAGCTGGGAGTGACTGTGAGCCACTGTGAGGAAGTGAGTCTCAGAGGAAGAGTTGCGAGGAGCTCACCTTTAGACTCTTGAGGAAAGTCTCGGCATGCCGCAGTGCTCCCTTGATGTAGAAACTGACCATCCCCGTGCAGCCTGAGCATTGGCGCTTGGCCAGCTCATGCTGAGGGTGAGAGGGTAGCCCTGCAGACAAAGCACACACGCAGCCTCATTCTAGAGCCACACATGGAACTTCAAGGGAACAAGCCCACTTGCCCCCTAAGTCAGCTTGGAATAAGGCCAGCAGCAGGGTTACAGACATCTATCTCTTCCACATCCTCTTATGCCCTTGCCACATCTCCTTTCCTGACACCGGCAACATGAGCTCTTCACTCAGGACCCCTGCATGCCTGGACTCCCTTGTTAATTGCATCCTTCTACAATTCCTTAACTAGTGTATTTTAGGAACAAGGCTGTCTCCATGAGGACAAATCCATTTATTTTAATAGTGGATTCACAGTCCTAGAGAAAATCCAGACCCAGCAATTGTTGGCTGCCTCTGGAAATACTGAACCATGAGCATTTAACAAGGGCTACCAGCTCCTTGGGACATAGATCAGAGCCCTTCTTTCTTCCTGTATCCAAAATGTACCCCAGCAAGCAGTGTTTACCAAATAACAGGTAGAGATCTGAGCTCATACATTTCTACTCTGACTTACCCAATTTCCTTGAAGACAAATCTTAACTACCTGACACTCATGATCCCATAGCCATGGGATCTAAGAACAAGGTCGCATAAGCCCAGACAGCTTAACAAATAACTGGCAACATAAACTCAAGGGGTGAGAATGAGTCTGCTAACCCACCTAAAAACAGGTGTGACCTGAAAAGAGCCTTGGGGGTGGGATTCTGGTACATTAAGTCGAAGTGGGGTGAATTTATGTCAGATTATAGTGTTGAACAAATGACTGGCAGGGTCATGAGTCAATCAACCAAGAATTATCCTATGACTGGAGTATATGTAAACCTCAGAGCTAAGAATCACAAAAGCATCTAGCATGTGAGGCTGTTCCTAACACCTGGCATCCACTGCCTCCAGGCCAACATCTTCTCTCTTTTATTTATTTTATTATTATTATTTTCTTTTTTTTGTTTTGTTTTTGTTTTTGTTTTCCGAGACAGGGTTTCTCTGCGTAGCTTTGGAGCCCATCCTGGCACTCGCTCTGGAGATCAGGCTGGCCTTGAACTCACAGAGATCTGCCTGCCTCTGCCTCCCAAGTGCTGGTATTAAAGGCATATGCCACCAATGCCCAGCAAACATTTTCTCTTGTCTATCTACTCTCCACCATGCTCATTGCAGAGCCTGCCACAAGATAAAAATAACCAACGAACAATGTAAAATTAGAGGAGAAACTGAGAAAGAGTGACCCACATACAGTCTTCAACTAGACAGAGCTGCTTAGAACTCAGGCTGACATACCAGGGTAAATAACTTTTTCTACCCTGGGATTCGACTCCAGGAAACGGGCCACTGCCATCCCATTCTTGAAGTGTTTCTCCATCCGCACCTGCAGAGTCTTCAGGCCCCGGCAGCAGAGGTAGCAATCAAAAGGGGAAGGAACCGCCCCCAATGCTGGAAAGGGAATAAGCGTCAGGTTAGCATGAAGGTACCACAGGGCCCAAGGGATCCCCTGGTTCTTCTTTTCCAATACAGTGACTGGGAAAATCTAGCTATAAAGCTTGACATTTGTGTAGTAGGAAGAAATTTCTGTGTCAAACGGAAGCATGGACTGAAGACAGAAATGTACTTGGAGAGATGTGCTTTATTTAAATCAGAGAAATGGATACCTTGTGACTAGGAAACCAGAGTGAGGCATTTGGCTGTGAGGAGACAGTCCTCCAAGATTCAATGACCTGACACATCACATAGTGTGGGCCTTCACATCTTTGAGAAGCAAGACAGAGAAAATCTGCAGTATGGTCACAATTGTTGCTACACAATCAACTAACACACACCTCATTTCTATTTTTAATTTTTTTAAATTATTATTATTATTATTTTGGTTTTTTGAGACAGGGTTTCTCTGTGTAGCTTTGGAGCCTATCCTGGCACTCGCTCTGGAGACTGCTGGCCTTGAACTCACAGAGATCCGACTGCCTCTGCCTTCCGAGTGCTGGGATTAAAGGCATGCGCCACCAATGTCTGGCAATTTTTTATTTTTATTCTAAATTATGTGTGTATATATAAGTAAATATGCGTGGGCTTGTGCATGTTAGTGAGGTGCCTGCAGAGGCCAGAAGAGTGAGTCAGATCCTGGGAGCTATAGTTACAGGTGACTGTGAACCCTGACGTGTGTGCTATGAACTGAACTGGGGTTCTTGGCAAGAACAGCTCCAGCTTTTAGAGGCTGAGCCATCTCATCCCTACTAATTTATCAAGCAGTCAGTCAACTCCCCTTCTCAACCACTTTGCTTCCAGAAGGGTATTTGCTATGGAATAATCCTCTTGTTTGCTGTAAAGATTTGTTACTTGAATTGCTTTAATAAAATGCTGATTGGCCAGCAGCCAGGCAGGGAGTATAGGTGGGGTGACCAAAATAAGAATGCTGGGAAGAGAAAGGGTTGAGTTGGGAGTTGCCAGTCAGATACAGAGGAAGCAAGATGAGAATGTCGTACTGTGAAAAGGTACCAAGACTTGTGGCTAAACATAAATAAGAATTATGGGTTAATTTAAGTAAGAGCTAGTTGGTAATAAGCCTGAGCTACTGGCTGAGCATTTATAATTCATATAAACCTTTGTGTGGTAATTTAGGAAGCAGCTGCCAGGTATTTGTAGTTGCTGGCACGATAGTGACTTCCACTAATAGGTATTATAATTTTTAATCATGTCTGTCTCTTATCTGTCAGAGTGCAGTGATCACCTATATCTGAGGCAAACTGAACAACCTACCAGGAAAGGTATTTAATGTACAGAAAGGTATATGTTTAAATTTTCAGTGCTGCTCACACCTAACCACCATTCCCGGGGCTTATTACATGAAAGCCATCATTTCAGTATTTAAAACAATCCACCAAGTCTTAAAAACTCACTTCAGCTTTAACAATTTTGTTAAGCAAGTAACAGAATTCACTTCTTAAATGATGTCATAAAATCTTGCTTTGCTATAACTCTATTTATTTATTTGCTTATTTTTCTGAGACAGGGTCTCACTTTGTAGTCCTAATTGGCTTGAACCTCAGTATGTAGGCCAGGTTGGCCTTAAACTCTCAGAGATCTTCCCACCTATGCCTATCAAGAAGTGCTGGGTATAACTATGATTTTACAGCCTTTTCTTCTTTCCCTCTCCCTACATGTGTTACACTATTCTGTGGAAGTACAAATATCAAATGTAGTCTCTGGTGACATATCAAGAATCCAGGCCTAGGGGGCTGGAGAGATGGGCCCGCCCACAAGAATGCTTCCTGTACAAGAATGACTGCCTGAATTAAGATCCCAGCACCCAAGTGTAGGGAGACACCGTCACCACGCCTCCTAAGGGCTGGCTACAGGTGTGCTTGACACACCCATCAGGGGGTCAAGGGGTGTTCAAGATGATGCATGTGAGTTCTTAAGGTGCAGCAGGCACGTGGAGGCCCCTTCTCTCTGGCTTCCCTGCCTTGCTGCCTCTGGGCACACTCTGGCTTGCGCTTGGCTGGTATTTATCTGAATAAAGGTATTTTGAATCTACAAGCCTTCTCCATCGCCATCACCCAAGCAGCAAGCTGGGCATGGCTGTGTGCACCTGGACCCCCAGTGCTGTGCTGGACAGAGGCAGGAGGATCCCTGGTACTTAGACACAGGTTTGGGAAGTGACCCTGTCTCAGATGACGAAGGTGGAGGGTGTCCTCTTCTGGGATGTACACACATGCCACACACAAAGAAACCCAGGCTCTTGACCACTTACAGTTCTGCAGGAAACGAAGCCGGGCATTGAGGTCATCAGAGTTAACAGACACCAAGCCCATGACAACATCGCTGTGGCCTAAAAAACGAAACAAAAGCATCACCATCAACAACAATTGGTGTTTATTCTCCATTTCATAATTTCCAAATCCCGATTTCTCTCTTGATAACATCCTATGGGAAAAGCCTTATTGTATAGGTGGACTTTATCCAGTTTTATAGCAGTGACTGATCAAAGCAGTAAAGTAAAATCCACAGTCAGTGTCTCCAAGCTGCTAGCAAAATGAAAGCATAACCCCTTACGGCAAACCCTAGGAGCCCCAATGCAGTTCTGTTTATGAGAAATGAGATTCTGAGTGTGGGGACATATACCCCAGTTCCTGGGACATAGGGAGATCAAGAAGTTCAAGGCTAGTCTTGGCAAGTAGCACGTTTCAGACTAGCCTCAGCTACATGACAATCAAAGCACTTCTTTTAATTTTACTTTTCAACACAAGTCACCAATAAATCCTACATGATAGCAGAAGGGTCCAAAAGCCACGCCCTGCTACATCGTCTCTCTGTGGAGAAGAATGTTTGAGATGCTGTCTGTGCTCATCTTACCATTCATGTATTTCGTGGCAGAACACATACAAATGTCAGCACCCAGAGCCAAAGGTCGCTGAAAGAAAAAAAAAGACATTTTACTTCAAATGAGAAACCCTCTGAAATGCACCATTCTATCCCCTTGCATCTGCTGCCTCAGATTCCAGTTGAACTCATCTCTACCCTGCTGTGTGAGAATCCACACATTTTCAATTTTCTATAAGATCATGAGTCTGCCCCTACATTTCCTTCTACCAAAGAAGCATCCAAAAGAAAAAGAAAACAAAAACAAATCAAAATAAGACTGGGCTATGACTCCGAAGGTGCAACTTACATGGAAACAAAAGGCAGGCCCAGGCCAAGCCTCCCAACGCCTTTCTTTGCAGTTCTTTGCAGGGCAATAAACCTGGCCCTGGGTTTATTGCCTGCCTGAGAGACACGTGCATTTTATGAGTCGTCAAATGCATGGAGCAGTTTATGAAAGCATCTAGCAATGTCTGTGCCAGGTGAGTGCAAAGTACTTTGCTTAGATTTTTAATCATTAAAAACTTACAAGGTACAAGGTGATTGTTAACACTTGATTGGCTGAGTTCCTGATTCCTAAATCACTCTTTTATTACACTAGCTTTGACAAGTATAAAGTCACAAAGAAATCTGTTGAGGCAGGAGAGAAGGCTCATGGTGGACTGAGTTCAATCCCTAAAGCCTAAAGATTGAAGGAAAGAACCAAATCTACAAAACTGTCCTCTGACCTCCACCTCCACACTGTAGTACAGACACATACACGTACAAATAAAAATGGTTTCCAAAAGGAAATGTGTCCAGATTATTCTCCTCTTCTGAAGCCACCCGGATTACAGTACCATGGCACAGCAGCCAAATGGGCTAAATCATAACATTAAAAGATGAAGTAGAAATTCCTTATTTAACATGGATTGATAACCAACACTCAGCCATGATAGGGATGGCATTAGAGATAAAACCATCTAACAAGCCATATCTTCACAGGCTTTCCATAACCTAAAAGATCAGGAAGGGCTGCCCAGATGATGTTCTAAAATCTCAGGCCTGTGTAGAGACAAAAAGGGCTACAACAAAAAAGCAAAATCCCCAGTCTCTAACGACCAGATCAATCCTGTAGAAAGAAACCCCTAGATCTGAACTCCTAATGGCCTCTGGTGCCTCACCCCACATGGCCAAGGTAGGGTCATTGTTACAAATTTACTGCCTAACATCTCTATTCAGACAAGACTCTCCCGAAATGGTCAAAGAGGCAAGGAAGCCAGGTAACCTCTCTCTCTCTCTCTCTCTCTCTCTCTCTCAAGATTTATTATTATTTATTATGTATACAGTGTTATGTCTGCATGTGTCCCTGCAGGCCAGAAGAGGTACCAGATCTCATTACAGATGATTGTGAGTCACCATGTGGTTGCTGGGAATTGAACTCAGGACCACCGGAAGAGCCAGTGCTCTTTAACCTCTGAGCCGTCTCTCCAGCGCCCAGATAACCTCTCTTAACTACTATAAAGGACTCTGTTACTTCCGAGAGGCATAGACTCTCTGAGAATTTGTCCACCATGTTTCTGTGTATAGTGCCTATTCTTAGCAATTATGACCTGGCAAATGTGTTTACTCCACAGTTCCCAACAAAGCCTCCAATGAGACAGTAACACAGTTTTGAGATGATATTAACTAATGCAAAAAAAAGATGCAAAAAAAGGGCCAAATCTCATTGTTTTTCTAATCAACGATATATTGATAGACAACTATTTTGAGTTTGATAATGATTTTACTATAAAGTAGTCCTTCCTTTCCTAATTACAGATAAATGTGTAGTTTGTTAATCACGGCAAAAATCCCTTCCTTTCATACCTGGAAATATGAAGACATGAAACTGTTATCTACAGCCAAAATGATGTCTCCACGCTTATGGACGATGCGTGCACAGGCTTCGATGTCAGTCATCTTCAAGGTTGGGTTTGTGGGTGTTTCAATCCAAACAAGCTACAATAATTCAGCAAACAACAGATGTAAAAATACACCACACACATATACATCTCACATACCACAATGTAGAAGAAAGCTACTACTTCCCATGCTGGAAAAGCTTAGACAATGAAGGTGGAATGGAAGGTGGAATGGTTAGGTTGAATATGAGCTTTCCCTATAAATTCCTGATAGGCTATTGCTCTGTAAATTCCCTTCTGTCTTCCTCAAGTCCTCATCTGCATAAAAAGATTGGTGATATTTATCCTACAGAACAAAGACATGGTATGTGGAGCTTCTGTTTTCAAAGACAAATAATATAGATCATATAAAAATATATCCTCGCTCTGGGGAAGTAGCTTAGTAAAGATCTTGCCTGGCATGCATGAAGCCTGGGATCAATCCCTAGCACTTCATAAGCCAGCACTTTGGAGGCTGAGGGGTGATGCCTATATTCCCAGCACTCAAGTAACAGAGGCAGACAGATCACAAGTCCAAGGTTTACCATCAGCTACACGGAATCTGGAATACAAGCAACCCTACTCTATACATCCTAGTATTTTTATTAATGAGAATTATGCCCAGCATGTCAAGGACACCCTCAGAGTTAAATAACAACAAATGCACTAGAAACACTAAACTTGAGAAAGTGCATTAGGCTGAGGAAAAGAAGTGGCAGCCACACAGAAAGGTTCACTGACAGAGCTCAGATGTACTGCAATTCACCCTTAACAGGTGCATCTGCTTTGTACTGTAAAACTTACAGCTTTCTCTTATAAGAACTAATGTATTTTCATCACTTACATAGACAGACAAGAAGTGCAGTTAAACACACTCCCTGTCTGGAAGTTCACTATTTAAAAAAATAGTTTTAAGACATGGTATCTGGAACATCTGTTCACTATTTTAAAAAATCTTGATTTACATAAAGAGCTATAAAAATGACTACTGGGTAAGAATACTAAATTCTCATCAAGATAATTTAAACAAAAATGAAAACAAGTAACCAAGTACAAATTAGGTTTTATATGGACTTTAAAAACTGACTACAGGGGCCGGAGAGATGGCTCAGTAGTTAAGATCATTTGTTCATGAGAAGACCAGGGTTTGATTCCCAGCACTCACATGGCAGCTCCCAACCATCTGTAATTCCAGTTCTAAGAGATCCAAAACCTCCACAGGTAGCAGACATACACATAGTGTACATTAGTGCAGGGAAACAAAACATCCATAGGTATAAAATTAATTATACATACATAAATATATATATATATATATCTCAAAAGCAGAGTCTGTATTCAGGGGAAAATATATTAATTCAAGTGAAAAAAGGGCCAGCAAATAAAATTGTGTGAACAAAGTTTACCACACTCATGATCTGATTTCTTCATTTGGGAAGTCTCAGACCAGCTATTTGAATAAATTCTTTTCTCTCAAGCAATATGAAAAGACAACTTCCTTACTATTAGCCCCAGTGCTAATCTAGAAAGAATTGTTTGTGTGGAGGATTTCTACCTTTTAGCATTCACTACCATATGAGCTTGGGTATGCGTTTAACATTTTAATCCTTAGCAGAAAGGTTCACTCATAAAAGACACTGGCCTTTCACTCCTGCAGAATTTAAATGAGGTCCCCAAATACCACATCTGATATTCTGGCACAAATACCTTCCTTCTACAGCACACAAGCTTCCCGGGGCTGAGATCAAAGTCCCTGGACTGAGGGGGTCTGTGGTCTTTGAACGATGCTATGCTTTGGTAGCTTGGTATGTCTGAGAACTATGTACTATGTACTCTTCAATTTAATTGTTTTACCAAAAAAAAAAAAAAAAACCATTGGGTGGAGCCGAGAGAGTAAATCCATACTAGCTTCTAATATAATGCACATAAAAAATTAAACTTAATGTTATAACACTGCCTACCCCAAAAGACAAGGTTCACTTTTAGAAGGCCATGCCTCTCTGCAATTCTCCCTGTGACAGGGTTAAGAAACAGGCTGTGTGGTGACTAATAGTAGTCCCTAATTTATGGTACCTGGCTCATTCATTCTCTTTGTCGTGTATACAGAGTTGGACTTAACCACATGATGTGAAACTTGTCAAAGTCTGATATTTCCTTTGTTCTTGGGATTGCTGTGGGGTTTACTTCAGAGAGATTCCCTTGGCTTCCCCTACCATCCCTCTCAAGGCAGTCATCTGTCCCTGTGTGTCTCTCTCCCCCTTTCATTCTTCTGTGAACATGTGTGGGTCCCTAAGGAGGACAAAGACATCAGATCCCCTGGAGCTGAAGTCACAGGCAGTTATGGGCCACCCTGTGTAGGTGCTGGGAAACAAATTCAGGTGCCCTGCTCTTAAGCACTGAACCATCTTTCCAGCCCGCCCCCTCCATGTTTTAAAGAGAAATCTCTCTTTCCTTTGAAGGCCCTGCTATATGGCTTTTAATAACATATTGTACCATTTTCTGTCTAATACTCTTTTCTTCCCACCTACCTCAAGGCCCAGTTGGAATTCCACTTGAGAATTTGTGTGTACACCCCACATAATCATGCTATCAAGCCAGGGAGGCTCTAGCCCATGTCAATCTCGGTGTTTCCAACAGCTTCAATAAAATGTTTTTTGGATTTAAATTACATCCTCTAGTGAACAGAAAGGATGTTAGTAAAGCAGAATGGGGAAAACAGAATCAAAAGCCAGCTGGTTACCTTGGTTTGTGGTGTAATCGCTTCCTCTAGCAATTTGGTTTTGGAACACTCCACAAAAGAAATCTTTAGCCCAAATTCTGATGCCACCCTCCTGAAGTATCTGCTGGTGCCTGAGGCAGAAGACAGAGAACACGCAGAGAACACGATGTCAGGAAGGTCTGCTCTTTGCAGACCTGCCCACTCCCAAAATGAGACGAACTCTCCAAAAACAAAGTGCAACCAAAAGCAAGTTCTCCATAGCTAAGCAGCATGGTTACTTGACATAACCACAGAGCCAATTAAAATAGACATAATACACACAAGTGGCAAGAAGCAGGATCATTTCTCAAACTCCCCTTTCTCTTCTCTTCCGACATGGAGCAGCTTCCCTGACACAGTGTCGTCTGTAGAAATCTCTGAATGATCACGCATGTGTGTTTAAGACAGACTTGGTGCCAACAGTCCCAACTGATACGTCTACAGCACAACTCCTGCTCTTAAGGCTCAGGAACCATTACAGAAGGGTCAGGACAGTAACAACCAGAAGAGGAGGAAGTTTGCTGTAGACTGCATTTCTCAGAAATGTTGAGAGGCTCATCAACACGGCTACCTAACCAAGACCTGAACAACAACGAAACCAATGGACACGTTAACACAGGAAGGGAAACCCATGAGGTCCCAACCTTAGACAAAGAACTACAGACAACAGGAGAATGCTGAGAGAAATGGTCTTCACCAGAGAAGAGCCTCCCCAGTTGGTTACCCAATACCCTGAAATCAAAAACATACAGGTGACATTATATGGACTGAGCAAGTTGTATTTATGTATTTAGGAATACATACACACATACACATACACACACACACATATATATATACATGTGTATATATGTAACAATCAAAAAAAAAGAGACCATGAATTTGAGAGAGTACGGGTGGAAGGTTGTGTGTGTGAATGGGAAAACTTAAAGGGGGGAAGAGGAAAATGATGTAATTATATTATAATTTTAAAAAAAATGTACTAAAAGCTGGGTGTTGGTGGCACATGCCTTTAAACCCAGCTCTCAGAAGGCAGAGGCAGGCGGATCTCTGTGAGTTTGAGGCCAGCCTGGTCTCCAGAGTGAGTGCCAGGATAGGCTCCAAAGCTACACAGAGAAACCCTGTCTCATAGCCCAGTAGACAAGAAAGTCAAAGTCACTATCTAGCCCAAGATGGCCAATTCATAGCAATTCTGCCTTAACCTCCTGAAGGTTAGAATCACAGGTACAAGCAATTATTAGCAGTTCCTTCATAGTGCTCAAGTCTAAAAACATCACCGGTGAGACGCACGGGTTAAAGACTCTGACCACCAAGCATGGCAACCTGAGCTTGATATCAGGACCCACATGGTGAAAGGAGAGAACTGACTCTCAGAAATCGTTCTGTGGTGTTCTTTGGCACCATGTGGCCTCACAGTATATGTATTGTGTGTTCAGAACCAAGGCTGCAGTGTGTCTGAAGGCTGATCAAGTCCTATATCCTTGTTCCAACTCTTCAACACATTCTTATCAGACAGCCTCTTATAGGCACTCCTGGAACATGGAGTCTGAAACACATCAAGGTGCCTGCCACACCTTAGAAAGAACACAGCCCCCCAAGCTGGCAATGGTGCCCATGTAATTCAAGGCTCATTGCTATCTTTGCACCACCTGACACACCCTGGGAATGAGAGGGCACCTACCTCCATACACGTCATCTATACAAATGACTTCATCTCCAGCTTTTAACAGATGGATAATCGTCACGGTGGCAGCTAGCCCCGAAGCAAAGGCCAAACCTATCAAAAAAAAAAAAAAAAAAAAAAAAAAAAAAAAAAAAACCAAATAAGCAAAACAAACAAACAAAAAACCCAAAAAAACCCAAACCCAAAAATCTTAGCAATAACCTAGTGCCATTGGCACCTGACTGAGCCACTGCTGCCACTTTTCAGAGGTCCTCTAATTAATGTCACAACACCCCTTTCTTTTTGAAATGTGAAACTTTAAAACACTGTTTATATGCACACACACACACAATAGATATTGAGACTTTTTCTCTTCTCAATTCTGATCATTTAGCATCACTTATATTGTAAATACAGAGATGGCATAACCAGAACATACTGGCAGGCAAAGGTCCTGGAAGTGAACTCCTTCCCTTTGAGAGCATATTATCAAGGATTTCAGGTTTGGCGAATGAGTCGTCATGATAGCCTGAGATGAGGGGTGTAATAAGCTTTGCCATTCTGCTCTGTCCCTAGTTACCAATAACTGGTGAGAACACACATGCATGTACTGCTGAAGAGCAAAGCCAAAGGCTTCATAGTTTTAGGACAGGGGGAGTTTGGAACCAGATCTCTTATCTTCTACCTCCTGTGCTTCCGTGGTCCCTAGACACCTAAACAGAACCCAGCTTTCACTGTAGATGCAAGTCTCTTACTGTGTTTTGCCCCGTCCAGAGCGGCCACTACTTTTTCCAAGCAGTTCCTTGTGGGATTTCCAGAGCGGCTATATACAAAACCCTGAAAGTCAGAAGAGGAGGAGGAAGAGGATTTATTCATTATCTTAAGAGATCTTGGTTAGTGTCAGAGCCCAGTGAAGACATGTCCACAGCTACAGGCCAATCCCACCATACTGATTCTCTATTACCTAGCCATGGCACATTTTGATGTAAGATACAAGTGTGGCATCATTGTGGCTCTGCCAGTATGTAGAGCCCAAAAGATGACCAAAGGGGGATCTGGAGAGATGGCAAAGAGGATGCTTATTACTCTTTCAGAGGACCTACATTCAATTCCAAGAATCCACATGTCAGCTCACTAGGTCTGGAACTCCAGTTCCAGGGGATCTAATGCTCTCTTCTGGCCTCCAAAGGCACTGCATGCATGTGGTACACAGGCATACATGCAGGCAAAACACCTATATACATAAAATAAAAATGAGTAAGAACAATGTACCTACCATGGGTTAGAATGATGTGTCTACACTAGCTTGGTACTAGTAGGTAAATGACTCAACATTCTAACAGTCAATTTGACATTGGAAAACAAAATACATGTCTAGTTGCAAAATTATGATGAAATGGAGTAAGGCATAAATCCTCTGTATATATATCCTCAACATGTGCTAACCACTAGGTGGGTGGCAGTTCTTAACATTGGCATGACATTACAATTATGTCAGCCTCGCCCATCCCTAATAAGATGGACGTATTAGGAAAAGGGAATCGAATGAGTCTAACCTGTGTTTCTCTTCCCAAGGCTTAAGTTCATTTAGCACATAAGAGGGTTGAACACATCATTCAAGTGCTCAGGGTTCATACCTTAACCCTATTAAAATGACTCAAAACCATAGGAGGAAATGATCCTCAGTGAACATCCTCTATGAGATGCTTCATAAAATCTTGTGTCAGGCTCCCTTTATACTTGAGAGTCATGTGAGCACTTTATTTAGCCTTGTGACTGACCTACATAGACAAAAGTGAAGGCAAATATTGTAAGACCTGGGGAATGTGAAGGTTAGGGCCAATCCTAGGATCTGAGCTGGTGTGATCTGAGCACACATCTGCAATCCCAGCAGAGGCAAAGTCAGATCCGTGAGTTCAAGGCCACCCTGGGCTACTTAGAGACAGACTGTCTCAAACAAACAAGAACATCCTACACTTTCCTCCCCTTGGCTTATATAGTATATCACTACTTATATCCTTGTTTTGGACTCTGAAGATTCTAGTATTAGTAATAAGAATTTTAAAAGTTTTCCCCTGTATAGATAACTTGGGCATACATCCTTCACAGGGCTCTAGCTGTCTTCAACACCCACCACTGTCCCTGGCTGCAAAACTCACCAAACCTCTTCCAAAATGCTTGGTTCCATGAGCAGCCCCATGCTTCATAAATATTCATAAGCATGCAGATACCTAACGTCTGGGGTAGGAGATGTTTCATTGGCAAACTACCTTGTGCATTCCATGGCTTTTCAAATGGAACTAAAGGTTTCTGATACTTCTCATTGCTGCAGTGCTATTATCTTTTGGGGATTCTGAGCACATACTGGATTTAACCAACCCTGCTTGCTCTCTGAACCACTTAAACATTAATACCATACGGGAACGCTCAATTTCTACACACTGTTCCACACAGGCAGCAGGCCTACATAGGAGGGTGCCATCACTTTCTTGGAGGAGATGGTATATGCCTTTGGAATGCAAATCACCAGCTAGGAGTATCCTAACCTGCTATAGTGATGCCTATGGAACTTTACCTCACAGAACAAGGGCTGTTTGTAAGAACTTTACCTGACTTACAACATACAAAGGCAGTTTCCAGAGCAGTTAAGACCTGGGAACCTGCAGCAGTTGCCTTACTCACTGTTGTCCTCTGAACCCTGGGCAACTTTCAATACATCAAGACCCATCTACTAAGCCACCACAAAGGAAGATGCCATGAGGTTCACAAGACTTTGTCTTACAGGTTTTACCGGTCACTTTTGTCTGAGTCTGGGTAGTTTCCTTTTCTATAAAAAGGATCTAACACCTACCCTCTGACCTGGTTGCTGTAGTCAAATGGAAATAGCAAGACATGAAGATTGCAAACACCAAAGTACTTCTGAGTGATGAGTGTGTACCACAGAGTTTACAACACCAACAGCTTATGTGGTGTGTTCTGTCATTACCCCAGTTTACACTGGGTCAAGCCAAGGCTAGGGTGGGTTAAATAGCTTCCTCCAGGTTACCCAGCCAAAAGAGCTGATGCAAGAATTAAAACCCCTGCACTCTTAATCACAAAGCCACACTGATTAGGTCAGTAGTTCTTAACTTACTGTGGTGACCCCCAACCATGACATTATTTTTGTTGCTATTTCATAACTGTAACTTTGCTACTGTTATGAATTGCAATGTGAATCCCTGATATTCAACCCCAGTGAAAGGGTCATTATGACCCACATGTTGAGAACTACTGTCTTAGATGATGAAATGTCTCAAACTATTACTTAGCACAGCTAATGATGCAGCACCATGAGGCCAGATGCAGAAGAGAGGGGTTCAAGACATATTAAAGCCTAGCTTCATTGCTCATGCACTTTGGGAACTGTAGGTTACCCTAGTACTGGTAATCCTCTCTCTCAGCTATCTCAGTCTGACACTGAGACCTTAGTTCAGGCTAAGCACCTTCTCGTTAACATTGGATAAGACTACCTGCAACACCCAGACTCTAAGTAGGCATTTGGTGTGTCAGTGTTCAGCAGCTATTAACTGAACACATTCATCAGAACTGATCTTAATTCTCTAGGACTTTCATCATTTAGTGTGCGTGTTTGAGTGTGAATGTGTGTGCCTCAGAGACAACTTCAAGAGCCGGTTCTCTCCTTCATGGTATGGATTATGGAATTAAACTGAGGTGGTTATGTTGGTGACAAGCACCTTTACCTGCTGTGATCAAACACCATGATCAAAAGCAATTTGAGGAAGAAAGGGCTTTCACTTCTCTGTAAAGGTTCGTTGGTTCATCGTGGAAAGCAGGTAGGACAGGAACCTGGAGGCAAGAGCTGATGCCATGGAGAAGTGCTGCCTCCTGGCTTGCTCACCCTGCTTCCAGAGCTCAGGATCACCAGCTAGGGAGTGGGGGTAGAGGGCCCCCTACCCCCACTCCCAATGGACTGAGTCCTCCCCCACTTCCTCAATTGAAGTCCCCTCCTCTCCAGGCATGACTATAACTTGTGTCAAGTTGATAGAAAGCTAATCGGCACACCCGCTGAGCCACCTCACCAGCCCAAGGCCCTTAGTTTTCCAAAGGAGAACTGGCTATCGGGGGGCTTCGTTGCTACAGAATTCATCAAATTACAGCTCTGGTTTTTAAAAATCGCAGAGACCACCCACGAGTCCGGGAGCACTGTCGCAGTCCCGCCAGCCTGCCCTGCCCGCCCCGTCGCTCACCGAGGACTGGGCCGGCGTGTGTTGCTTGAAAGTGGTGGCCAGCGAGATGGGCAGCACCACGGGGCGTGACTCCCATTGCTCGGGATCCTGTCCCACGTGGATGGCCTGCGTGGCAAAGTGCTGGAAGCCGGGCCGGAAGCCGCTCGGGGAGGCGTCCTTTTGCATGCTGAGGTGCGGGAGAGCAGGACTTGGCCGAGTGTGAGACCAACTGGAGTCTTTCGGGGCTTCGCCTTTATATTCAGGGAGGGGCGGGGCCGACGCGGCCAATTAGCGCGCGTCCCGAGGCAGAGCCACTGCCCATTGGCCGGCAGCGGAGGTGTTGCCCGGAGGCCCCGCCCCGCCTCCCAGTGGCGCCGAGCCGCCCCCACATGGTGAGCAGTCGGGCTGAGACCTGGGCACCCTTTGCCCGCCGGGTACAGACGCGGGTGTGGGCGCAGGGATGAGCCTCCGCCGTTCCTTGGCTCGGATCTAGGAACCGCTGAAGCGGCGTCCCCAGCGCCTTCCGTCCTACCCTCGCCAAGATCAGGCTTTAAGGTGGGAGCTGTGCTCCGAAACTACACAGCCTTGACCTAATTTTACTCGGTGCCAAGGAACTGGGGAGTTTAAGACGTTTCCAATTTTCGGAAATCGAACCTTTTAAACTCTGAAACACTGTAGAACAAATTTAGAAGACATTAAGGAGCAATTTTTTTAAGTTTTTAAACAGCATTTTTTAAAGCAACGGATTGGAAAAGGCTACAAAGAGCAAACACAGTCCATTTGCTTTTCAAATTAGCTTCAGAGACACTCACCCTCCAGCAGGAAGTGTGAGCTGCTGGAGACCAGGTGAAAGCAAGGCCCACAGGGAAGGGGATTGTCTCTGAAACACAAATGGGTTGCGATGTCTGTGTGATTACTATTTCTCCTTTTAAAATATGTTCTCAGCCTGAACACATTCCAACGATTATGCATCTATGTGGGTATCTTTTAAATTTTTTGAGGTTTATTTTATGTGCATTTCTGTGCACCACAGGCATGACTGGTGTCTACAGAGGTCGGAAAGAATGTTAGATCCTCTGGACCTGCAGTTATAAACAGATGAGATCAGCATGTGAGTGTTGGGAACCAAATCCTGGTCCTTAACATCTGAGCTATCTTTACAGCCATCTCTACATCTCTTTTGACATGACCACACAGAACAGGTGGGGACAGACAAGCCTGAAACAGTTCAGATTCCAGTTCTAAGTAGAGTTGATAAACCCTGGGTTACATAAACATGAACCTTTTTTTGTTGGTGTACTTGTCTATTGTGTGAGTGCAGAGGAATGTGCAGCGCACACCTGGAGATCAGAGAGTTATCTGGACTCTTATCTCCTACCGCTCTGCTGAGGCAGAGTCTCTCTGCACTGTTTGCCCCAGGCTAGCCTGCCCAGGAGCTTCAGTTGGTTCTCCTGTTCTCCTATCTCTGCCTCCTACAGCAGGAGTGCTGGGTTACAGAAGCATCGCAAAGGAGAATGCTAGGGATCCAACACAGTGCGTCAGTCTGTGGGCAAGCATTTTTACCCACTGAGCCATCTTTCCTCCTGACATTATCTTTAGTTTAACTGTCATAAAAGTTCTTTGACCAGCATTCGGGAGGCAGAGTTCGAGGCCAGCCTGGTCTCCAGAGTGAGTGCTAGGATAGGCTCCAAAGCTACACAGAGAAACCCTGTCTCTAAAAACCAAAAAAGAAAAAAGAAAAAGAAAAGAAAAGAAAAGTGGCCCCTAGTCAGAAGCTCTAAATGAGGCCTCTGATAAAGTGAGAGGAGACTGTGAGATGGCAAAGCCCAAGATTTAATTAAATTCCTCCAGTCACATGATTCTGAATTTCCCTTCCACTCAGGAGCGTTTCTCCCAGACATCATCTTACGTGTGTGCAAAAGTGAACAAGAGTGACTACATGACTCTCAGCCAGCGTAGTGGAAAGCAGCTTAACTACCCATCCTTCAGAGCACAGATTACTAGTTCTGTGATACTCATGAAGTGGCCAACGAGCAGAGATGTTGAAGAGAGCTGGCATGGCCATTCTCAAGGCAGCAGAGGGAACTGCACAATGGTGTGTGAGTTCAGGGGTGCGTACTGGGCTGCACCATCTTTAAGTATATGTATGGTTTGACATCCAAAACAATAGCTCTACCAGGGAAAATAAATCCTTTACTTGTCATAGAAATAAAGTAAAATAAATCTTTTCTTTTCTTTTTTGGCTTTTGAGACAGGCTTTGCACTAGCCCTTGCAGAACTCGAACTCATGGTAACCCCTACCACATCCAACTAGAAGAAATCTTTTTAAATGAATGGGTGATGGCCACTTTAAATACAGCCAATGTCCTCTGAATGCCGATTTTGGTTTACAGAAGCTTGTGAACAGCATCATGAAATTATCACAACACTGCTAACCTCGGTTTCTTCTTTGGGAAGGACATGTGCTCTTTTCTTCTTTTTGTTTTATTGTTGTGGTTGCTGTGAGTTTGGTAGCAGAGGATGGTGTGGAATTTGCCCCTACTACCTCCGGTGTGCACCGCAATGTTTAGTCTTTGTGGTGTTGGAGACTGAGTCCAAGGCTTCCTGCATGCTAGGCAAGCACTCTTTCTTCTGAGTCACATCTCCAGCTCCATCTATAGTTTCTTTAAACGTGGGGCATGGGGAGTGAGTGGGTGTGTTGAGACAGGGTTTCTCTGTGTAGCTTTGGAGCCTGTCCTGGAACTCATGGAGATCTATCTGCCTGCCTCTGCCTCCTGAGTGCTGGATTAAAGGTGTGTGCCACCACCGCCTGGTGAAACACTATTTTTAATATGAAATAATTTTTAAAAAGGCATCTTTCGAGACGAAGAAAGTTGGAAATGTAGTCCATGGCTGCCAGGCTTTGTTTCACTGCTGGTTTCAGAGATGGCAAGTGACTCACTCATAGTATTGATGGAGGGAGAATCCTCAACTGGCTACACGAGACCCTATCTCAAAGAAGAAAAGAGAAGCCAGGATGGCTGGCGTCTTTAGTCACAGCACTCAGGAGGGAGTAATCACACCGTGGAAGCCATTGCTGGGGCTCTAGAATTACTGTAGCCTCCAAAGATGCCTGTGGTGGAAGTGTGGTTCCTTGTGTGATGGGCCCTTTAAGAGGCCTGGCTGAGGCAGGGAGAGGTGCTTGCTGCCTAGAAAGGAAGCAAAGAGACTTTCTTCTTTGCACCCCATCTCGTTCTTACTTTCTGACTTTGATGGGTGATGTTTCTCTCACATACGTTGCCCACCTATGCAATGATGTCTGCTTTCAGCAATTGGTCATCGCCCCTGCTGTGCCCGTGAGGTCAATAAGCACCCAGCCTCAGTTATTCCATTATGTCTTTAGAAAACAGACTATCCTAGCTGCCTCATATTGAGCCTAGTCTAAGAATTCTACCAATACCTTCAGAGAACACCAAAGAGTAGGTATTGTGTCGGATCTGCAAGTGAATATGGAAAGCGTGAAGAGTTGGTGTCAGTTTTCCCAGGAGCACAGCATGAAGTGTCTGATCTTCATGCCTGTCCTCCCCAGCCTCCTCTCCGAGCTTCTGGTATGTCCTCCTTTGCCAGCAGGTAATCTGTATGCACAGGACTGCAGGACTGATCCTATTTTTGTTGTTGCTTTTTGGCTTATCTTGCATGTAGGGTCAGAATAATTTCTCAATTATAGTTTTTTGTTTGTTTGTTTTGGAAACAGGGTTTCTCTGTATTGTTTTGGAGCCTGTCCTGGAACTTGCTCTGTAGACTAGGCTGGCCTTGAAATCACAGAGATTCCCCTGCCTCTGCCTCCTGAGTGCTGGGACTAAAGACATGTACCACCAACACCCAGCTGTTGTCTTTTTTTTTTAAATCATAAACATACTTTCAAGTTCTCCAAACTAAGAAATATATTGCCAAAAATGACACTGCTGAACTGTCTTCATCTACATTTACTCATTCACTTGTTCCTTTGTTCATCAACAAACAATTATCCAGTCCCAGTTATGAGCAAGTATGCTGGCATGTCCTCACTCAAGTCCATCACCATGTCTTGGTTCTTTACTGCCTAGGTCCTCCTAGCAGAAAGGACTTTGAACATTGGCCAGCAGAACCACAGTGGGACGCTCTGCCATGAGCATCGGGATCCACCAAGGTGGAGTCCACACTCCTTCACCTCTGATGCCGAGCTCTTCCTGTATGCTGCGTCCTCCCCTCCCCCTTCCCACATGGTGCTGTGCCCCTTTCCCGGCAGATGACAACATCTGTTCATGACTCTACGCATATTATCATCCTCAAATTTCTTCCCAGCTGTCCTTTGGGTCTCCATATCTTAGCTCAAGCTTCTCTTCTGGTAAAATTTGTTCGAAGCCTTGTGTCCCCTGACTTATATGGCCTCTATAATGGTTACTGTACTTGCTTATTTGAATGTGCCTTGCTTGGTTATATGTTCTGGAAAGAGAAAAAAGAAGATATAAAATTTATCTTCATGTCACTAACACCTAGCTCTGACTCTGGCACAAGCACACTGATCAATAATATTTTGTAACTGCCAGAATAAACTTTACGAAACTGAGGAGATACTATGACTTAGAGTCCGTCCTTGGAAAAGGCTGGAAAATAAATAGCAGAAGTGCACTGTGTTGCTCCAATGTTGACTTTTCTGCTTGTTTTAAGTGGCCCTGACCTTTTAGGAAGTAAATGGTGTCACCAACTGAACAATATATGAGAATATTAGAGACTGCAGATACATCAGAGACTCTGCACAGTTCAGAGAATGACTTTTTTGAACTAAAAACTGGATCATAGAAATAGATATGGCCGGCATGGTGGCGTTTGCCTTTGATCCCAGTACTGGGGAGGCAGAGGTAAACAGATCTCTGTGAGTTCGAGGCCAGCCTGGTTTATATAACAGTTCCAGGACAGTCATGACTACACAGAGAGATCATATTTCAGAAAACAAACAAAAAGACCCAAACAACCACAATAAAACCAAAGGAGTAAGTAATAGATGGAAACTGTATAGAGTTCTTCCTGCAGTCACAGGCCAAGGGAGAGGGGGCATAACACAGCTGCTCCATGCTCTGAACCTTCTGATTGCTATTCACAGTGTAGAATAATGCTGTTCCTTCCCATGACCGAGGCAGGACAGAAAGGCAAGAAAAACTAAGCCA